TGCAAAGTGGTGAGGGAAAAACTTTAGGGGGGTTAGGATGAGTACAGGAGAACGAAGCCAAGTATTGCCACATTACAGAACAGCCTCGATGTCGCAAAAAAATGCATCCACCTAATAAGGTGGCTTCCTGTAACTGTGAAGGACGAAGAGGCAACGAGAACCACAGAGTATTTTCGTATGAGAATGATGTTCACGAGGTTTTACGACAGTCTCTACTTCTCGAAAGAAGCAGCCGCACGTTGACCCGGCAGTCGTCCCAACGTCACCTGGGAAGAAGTACAGTTGAAAATCAAAAGTGTCAAGAATGGCAAATATCTTAACATTGGCGGCATGAAACTGAAACATATTGAGTGAGGACGAATGAATTTCCTCAAAATTCTTGCCGAAAGCTGCAGATGCCAAAAGCAAGGAAGAGTTTGTCGAGGCTTTCTCTATTCGAAAAAGGTGATGTTGAAGACCTGCTAAAATTATCGACCTATGGTTTCTCTGTCACAAATCTATCAGGTGCTTATCTGAGTCATCCTGAATTGAACCCGGAAAAGCCTTGAACTGCTACCTAGTAAGGAACAAGCAGGTTACAGAACATGGCTCTCCACCAGAGGTCACATCCACAGACATCAGAAAGGTGCCAAGATATCAATTCCCTCTCTGCTACCCATCCAACACTTCACAAAAGCGTTCGATTTGATCGAGCTGAACGTTATACTAACGCCCGTACAACTGCGGTATCAAGTTTGTCTACGTCTACCTGATCGAGGAAATGAATCCTGACATCGCAACCGAAATGAGGCAATTCGAGGACCTATGTAAAATCAACACTAAAAGGGGAGTGTATGCCTACGATACGCCATCTTTCCTTAGTTTTTCGTAACGGCGACGGACTCCTTCCTTGACTTCTGACCCAAGGCGGCGATATTAACATCGACGGAAACTGGCTCAGCCATTTGTTATTTGTAGGCGACGCCAAAACCGTGGTAAACATCCTGGCACAGCTCATAACAAAGACTGTGTGTTGCGAAAAGAGGCACGAGCCATCGGTCTGGAGATGAGCTTCTCCAAGACGAAGTAGATGCGGAACGAGCACTGCCCTGCGAGTGCGTCCTACATTGACGGCGAGGGCGTGGAAAACG